GGTATAACAATATCCCTAGTCTTTATATGGTTGCCCACAAGACACGTCAACATGTTTCCAATACTTCTATTTACCACTTCTGTTTGCCCATCTGTTTGTGGGTGACATGTGCTAGAGTAGGTTAGCTTTGTACCCAACTTTCTCCATAAAGTCCACCAAAAGTGCCCCATAAACTCCACATCCCTATCCAATACAATAGAAGAAAGAAGCATAGTTTTCAAGGCACCAAGGCGATGCTAGGCGACAGAAGGGCTCCTTGTCGCCTAGTTGCCTAGGCGATGGATTTTTTTAAGTAAAAACATGTATCCTAGGGTAGTTCCCTAGGTTCCATAATCATATTTCCTTAATAAATATCCATAATTTTCATAAGAAAAGTATAAACTTCATGTTAAAGTATAGAAAATCAGCATATTTACAGAAGAAAAAGAAGAAAGAAAAGAAAATTCAAAAAATATAGAGGTTGAACCCCTATTTCTGTTATAGGAAAAGAAGAAAAGATGAGGTGGAAGAAGAAATTAGTAATATAAACACACAAAATTAGTAAAGAAAAAGAAGAAAATGTGTTGATTGGACAACATTTTATGTTCTTCCTTACTTATTGGTTCAGGTTGTGAAGTCTTTGAGGGTTCAATATAGCATTTAGCAATATTTTAGTTTAAAAATGTCTATTTTATAATTATAACCTAAAAATTAAGAATATAAGTTTTTTATAACATGCTATAGAAAACTGCTTGGCGATTAGGCGAGGCGAGCCTCCAAGGGTGCCTTGTTGCCTAGGCATTACCTTGACAACTAGAGAAGGAAGTCCATGTAATCACACCACCTTTTGAAGAACAATTCAGCTATGTGAGTAGCATCAATTGTCTTTGAGCAAGGTATGAAACGCACCATCTTGGAGAACCTATCCACCACCACCAAAATTGAATCATGGCCTCTTGTTGTCTTAGGGAGTCCAAGCACAAAATCCATGCTTAAGTGAACACATGGTGAATTTGGAACTAGCAAAGGTGTATACAGCCCCGTGTTTTGAATATTTCCCTTTGCTAGTTGGCAAACCCTACACCTTTTCACCACCCATTCCACATCCTTGTGCATCTTAAGCCAAAAATAACGATCTACCACATGTAACCCCGCTAGCGATGGGTTCCTAGGGGGGTCAAGTTAGCTATTCAGCATTGCTTTCTTATTTTCTTGAGTTATGTAACTTAATGGTTCAAAATATCAATACGCCCATGTGTATTGATAGAGGCATATTGGTACTTTGAACATGCGTGTTTATATTTTTTTTAGTTTTTGTTCAAAACCTGGTTTTAGGGCCATATTTAAGTGTATTTTTATTAACAAAGGGGGTTCCCAAAACACCTGTGTATATCGGGACCCCAATGATACGATACGATATGCCCGATACGGGGCATATCGTATCGAGATTTTGATCCTTGGTAACTTATGGACTTTATAGTTGCTTGTTAATGTCCTAGTCTATTATTTTTAAGTTGAGTCATGTGAGTCACTTAAGTGGGGGTATTTCTATCAAACTATGTTAGGGCATTACCTTGCTTGGAGGCAGCTATATCAGCCTCAAATCATGTTTGTAGAAGGATCTTTTTACTATTTTGAAACCCTAAAAACTTATACTCAAAGTTGTCAAGGCAACGCCCAGGCGGGCACCCTTGGAAGCTCACCTCGCCTGATCGCCAAGATGTTTTCTATAGCATGTTATAAAAAACTTTTATATTCTTAATAGCTTTTAAAAATAGACACTTTTAAACTAAAATATTCATTTTGTATGTTTATATACTTGTTTCTTTTTATTATTTTCTTATTTGTTAGGGTTTAATCAACACAAACATTGCTAAATGCTGTATTGAACACTCAAAAACTTCAAAACCTGAACCAATAAGTAATGAAGAACTTAAAGTATCGTCCAATCAACACATTTTCTTCTTTTCTTTCTTTTTCTTCTCATGAATATGTTGGAATATGTTGATTTTCTATACTTTAAAACATGAAGTTTATACTTTTTATGAAAATTATGGATATTTATTAAGGAAATATGATTATGGAACCTAGGGAACTACCCTGGGATACAAGTTTTTACTTAAAAAAAAAAAAATCCATCGCCTAGGCGACTAGGTGACAAGGCGCCTATCACCTAGCCTCACCTTGGCACCTTGAAAACTATGCTTATACTGTCCAATAAAGAGGTGATTTCAGCCCTAAAAGTGAGGTGTTCCTGATTTTATCTTCCCTACACTGTCTCACCTCAAGATTTTAATGCTTCTTGTTGTTGTTTTCTACTGGTTTTATACTTTTTGTTGCATTACCGGGGCTAAGCTAAATCACAGCCCAACCCGCCCAGTTTGTACCCTAACCAAAAAAAGGAAGGAGTTTTGAATCAAACCAAATTGCTTAACAGAGAATCATAAAACAAGGAAATCTTTGGATAATTCAAAACCCTAGTTTAAAAGCACTTGTCCCAACAGGTCAAGAGAATCCAAAACATCAAAGTAATCATGGTCCCTTACGTCTTTCCTGAAGTCAAGGTCCCAAGAAATACACAAGGAAGTAATACAACAATCAAAGTAATCATGGTCCCTCATCCCTAATTACCCTCCAATACCCAAAGGGCCTGGATTGCCCACACAACTAAAATCGAAATTCAATTTCTTCCACCCAACACTTGGTGGTGACCATTCCGCATAAACTCTCTAAAATGATGGTGTTTAGGATATATGAAAGTTTAAGAAGCCAATTTTGTGATGGTAATCCAACAAAAGTATATTTCTTTGCAAATGTATGAATATAAAAAATAAGTTATCATAAACTTCTAAAAAATACTAACCACTGATGCATATTATTACTTTTATCCCTCCCTTGAAGCTTGAGACTGGCATAGGGCCTGAATGATGACCTGAATAGGAGTAAAAATCTTCTCCAGGATGGGACCCAAAATGTTGGTTTTTTGGATATACTAAAGTTTAAGAAGCAAAATTTTGTGATGGTAGACTTACAAAAGTAGATTTTTGTGCATATGCATTTAATAAATGATTGCACAGTAAGGTTCTAGAAACTACAAATCATTGAAATACATATTGCTACTTTTATCCCTTAAAGCTTGGAACTGGTGTAGGGCCAGATTGACATCTTGGATAAAGCAAAAGTCTTGACCAGGATAGGGTCCAAAATGCTAGTACTTTGGATGTACAAAAAGCTTAAGAAGCCAAATTTTGTGATGGTAAACTTACAAAAGTATATTTCTATGCATTCTATTCTAATAATTGGCTGCATATTAAAGGGAGGTATTAGCTGTGGTACAAGGACTACAGATTTCCAACCAACTTGGAGTGACTAATTTGATAGTTGAAGGAGACTCTAAGGTGATAGTGGGATGGATGTCGGACCCAGAAACTGTTGTTTGGGGATATAGAGACATCACCAAAAAAGTCAAATGGCTTATGAGCACAATGTCAGTTAGCTTTCAATGGGTTAGTAGATCAGCAAATGCTTTGGCAGATTCTTTAGCTAAACAAGGAGCTTCAAGGGATTCTCTGTTTTTGGCTAATTTGTAACTGCAATCTTAGGGTGCTTCCTCTTAGGGTGCCTCCTCTTAGGATGCTTCATGCTTGTACTTTTTCTATCTCTATTTAATAAAATACCATTCATTCATCAAAAAATAATAATTGGCTGCATACTTACTACTTTTATCTCTTGAAGATTGAAACTAGGTTCTATCAGAGGTAGAGGCCTCCTTCAGATGGGTTAACAGATCAGCAAATGAACTGGCTGATTCAATAGCCAAATAGGGGAATCTAGAGAAGAGTTGTTTTGAGCTTGTTTGCTTGGTTGATGTGGACAGGGGTTGTGATGGAGGCCCATCTCATCATATGGGCGACAGCTCATGGGAAGAATTCAAGATAAGCCAAAGAACTCAAAGAATCCAAGATAATTCAGGAATTCAAGATACATCAAGAATTCAAGAGTCCAAGATAATTCAAGAATTCAAGATTATCTCAAGAAAATTCAAGAATTCAAGAACCATCAAGAATTCAAGAATTCAAGATCATCCAAGAAGCCAAGAGTTCAAGATAACCCAAGATTCATACCAAGATTAGGATAACTCATGCATGGATAAGATCCAGGGAGATCGGACGGTGGAGATCAAGCCCAGAAGAGTTCGAACCTATCTACAAGATTGAGATGTTTAGATCAACTACAAATTTAATTTTCTTTCCTAGTTCTTTTACAATTTCCAGATGTATTATAAATACTGCTATTTTCCAGTTAATAACACATTACACTTCAGATTTCCTCTTCAATTCTCGCCACCTTTTCTCTCTCCTCTAGAGATTTTCTTTCTTTCTTGCTTCGCTAGAAGCTTGGTTCGCCCGGTGCTTGCGTAGCCAGCCCGGTTTATTGCTTCCACGCTGCGTCAGGTTGGCTTTGTGGGAGAACTGAAAGATGTACTTTCTTTTGTATATTAAAATTAAAAAAAAAAAGTCATTTATGTTATTCATTCCAGAAAAAAATAAATAAAAACTGCAATTCTATCAAAGCATATATGATTTGTGTATATGAGAAATATGTGTAGCAACTTGGGCACATCTATTGGCTTGACTTGATTGATGGTGCTGCATTATCAATCTGTGCCAATATCCTTATACCATGCCAACCTAAAATAAAGTTAAATGAGCACATCAACACTAGGCCCGAGCCCAGTCGGGAAAATAAAAGTCTAAACTTTTGGGCCCAGCCCATATAAAATTCTGGACTGGATCGGTCCAGCCTCAGGTTGGGCCCGCCCAAGTTGCACCCCTAATGGTGCATTATCAGTCTGGGCCAATATCCTACCATGCCAACCTAAAATAAAGTTTAATGAGCACATCAACACAATAGTATATCTCCATGTATTCATGATGTTACAATCTCTAAAACAAGTGAACCTTTTTTTCTGAAAAGCATAAAATAAGAGGACTTTAGGATAATGGAAAGCTGGAACCTACCAACAGGACCTGCTTGGACAAACAGCTCCCATAGCAACTCCTCGGTAACCTGTAAAAAGAGAAAACTTAGGACATGAGTCAAACTTTTTATTTGAAACAGTAACAATCAAGAAGATTTGTATTAACAATAGGCACAAAAAATACAACAGGTACAATGTAGAAGATGTAAATCAGTTGGAACACAAAAGCCTGAAAGCTGTAAAAGCAACAAGACTAAATAAGCAATTGCTCGGTGTGGTGATAAATCCTGGCCTGACAAGTATGAGAACATGGATTCAAATCTGAGAAAGGTCATTTCATACGCAAAATGCTGGATGTTAAGTCCATATCTAGGGATGCAACTTGGGTACCCAAGTTGAAGATTTTACAGTACATCAGGCTTATGGCTAGGTGATGCAGTGGGGCTGGAACAAACTATCACAAGACAGAAAGAGAGAGGAAGAGAGAGAGAGAGAGGAGAGGAGAGGAGAGGAGAGGAGAGGAGAGGGGTGGAGAAAGAGAAAAGAGAGTCTCCAATCTGAAAGTGAATTGGAATAAGAGTTGTGTAGCGGGGGTGAATTTACGAGAAGATGAGGTGCATGGCTAAGGCTTTAGACTGCGAGGTAAGTGGTTGGCCTCTAGTATATTTAGGTCTGCCCCTGGGGGAAATCCTAGAACAGAAAGCTTTTGGCACCCAGTTTTGGAAAGATTCACTAAGAAGTTAGCAAGGTGCAAGAGAAATTATATCTCACTAGGGGGTAGAATCACTTTAATCAAGTCCACCCTGGCCAACCTTCCGGTGTATTTTTTGTCTACCTTTAAGCTTCCTGTCAAGGTTGCCAATAAGCTAGAAAAACTCATGAGAGACTTTCTGTGGGAACCGGGTGACTCAAAAAAAGACCATTTAGTGAAGTGGGAAGTAGTTTCTAAGAAAAAGGAAGTCGGGGGTCTAGGCATTGGCAATACTAGATTAAGAAATGTAGCTTTCTTAGGAAAGTGGTTGTGGAGATTTCCTTTGGAGCAAGACAGTTTGTGGCACTTGGTGGTGGAAAGTATTCATGGGATGACAGCTAATGGATGGGATGTTGGCATCGACCCTAGGACTTTTCATTTCTCCCCTTAGAAAGCAATTGCTAGAGTCTTGCCTTCCTTTCAGCCTTTCATCAGATTTGATGTATGCTCAGGTAATAAAATCTTGTTTTGGGAGGACCTTTTCCTTGGGAACACCCCCCTTAAGGATAGATTCCCAATAATGTATTCTCTTTCCCTAAATAAATTCAAAACCATCTCCTCACTTCATGTGTCTAAGGGGACTTGGAATTTGGGTTTGAGAAGAGGATTGAGGTATTCAGAATTGGCTTTTGTAGATGAGTTGTTCACTGTGTTGCGTTCAGTTTTCCTAGATCTTTCCTACCCAGATAGTAGAATTTGGAAAGAGTCTTCTTTAGGGACTTTCTCTTGTTCATCTTTTTTCAATGCCTTCTATTATGTCCATCTCTTTTCCTGCTAAAGAAGTTTAGTTTGGTATTCCCCTGTGCCACTAAAGGTTAGGGATTTTTGCTATGAAGTGGCTCTTCAAAAGATCAATACTATGGATGTATTTCAACAAAACAAGCCAGATTGGAGCCTTTCACCACATGTCTATTGCCTTTGCTTAAGAAATGGTGAGACGGCAACTCATCTTTTGATTTCTTGTCCTTTTGCTTCTTATTTGTGGGATTGGTTCTCTTCTTTGTTTGGTTGCAAATGGAATCCCCCCTCGGGTGTGCTGAACCTTTTTAACTCTATCTTCTTCCAACAAACAAGGAAAAGAGGCAAGGTAATGTGGAGAATAACAAGAGCAGCCATCTTTTGGTCAATTTGGGAGGAGAGAAACAATAAGATCTTCCTAAAGCAAGAAAAATCCAAGGAAGCACTTGTTGAGGTTATGACCATCAAGGTTATGAATTGGCTAAAAGTACAACATCTCTTCAAGGACTTCTCCTTAGCTGACTTAATTAGAAATTGGAGTACTATAACCATATCCTCTCCCTCCTCCCCTGTGGTACAAGAAAGTTAGGTACCACCGCCTCAATTCAAGGTGAAGTTAAACTTTGATGGAAGCTCCTTGGGTAATCCAGGTCAGTCGGGAGCTGGGGTGTGTTCAGAAATTAGGAAGGAAAAGTCTTGGCCCTATACTCAGGCCCAATTGGGATGGGAGATTCCTTAAGGGCAAAAGTAATGGCCTTACTTCAAGGATTGGGACAAGCGAAACAATGGGGAATGCAGCAATTAGAAGTGGAAGGAGACTCCAAGCGAAACAATGTTTTGGGCTTGTTGTAAGATTTTGTCTTGATATTCCATCCATTTTGTGGGTGGTAAATCTGTAATTTTTTCAAATCATCGATGAAAGTTACTCCAAAGGGTCCTAGGATCACTCTAGGGCTTGTAGGAATCACTCCATACAGTAAACTTCCAAGAGAGCTCTAAAGAAATCTCCATTCATTCATTAGCTTCAAAAGGAAGAGAATACATCTATTTATAGAGTATCTTGTGTGCCCCGGAAAACTGTTCATCGTAATTACAAAAATGCCACTCATTGTCATGCATCAAGAAATACAATAACTTTCTATCTACTAATGCAAATAAATCGAAAATTGAAAGACAAGACCTACTAACTAGAGGAACAAGATGTTATAGCCCAGGCCCACATGGGACTAGTTAAAATGACAAAAATAACCATACTGTCCAAATATACAAAAATACAGAAAATTTCAAAAAAAAATCCAAATTTGATTCTTCAGCTCCTGCATTACTAGGCCATTAAAAATTTAACAAATCTAAACCCAAGCAACCCAGGTTGCAACCCATCCATATCCAGTCCACCCCTCCTAAAACCCCATATAACTGGACCAGCATTTTGTAATAACCATTGAGGACTACTTTTTTTTTGTTGACTGTAAAATAAAAGTATAATTATATCAGGGATCAAGGAGTAAAAAATATAAAATTATGATTTTTGCAGAATCTCCCTCAACCAAGAATAATGAGGGCCTCCTAGAAGTGACCAACACAATATAGAGGGGGCAAACCTTCATGTGACTGATGAATCTAGGAAAGGTCCTAAACAATGAATAAGCTAAAGAAGCAAATTCTATATTGGAAAATAAGAATTCCTTTGTCAACATATAGAGGAAGATTTATATCAGTAATTATCAGCCAAAATTCTAAAATCTAAGTGTATGTGAGGGTGAAAGATCTAGCTGATAAAAATTTAAACAATATAGAATGTTTAACCCACTAACTAGCAAACTCTTAGCATGGGCTGATGATAATCAATGAGGATTCATTACTTAAAAATCACACTCATAGCCCATAGTTTCAACCTGTAAACAAAATCAAATTTCGGAAAATCTTTAATATTTTATTATTCTGATGAGTTTCAATATTGGGACATTTGAGGTTTTAACTTAAACAACTAACACCCTTGTATCTTGTTTTGGATCATAGTGGTCTTAGGATGGTTTCCGTTTGACTCCTTTATTAGTTGAAGAAGATTCTTTTTGGTAAGAAGATTTTAATAAATTCACTTCAAGAGGTTATTACTTAATGTCAATAACCTCATGCAATGTTAGCACCCTAGATCTGGAAGGAGCCTGGGCATGCCTATGATTCTCTGAAGAAATCGAATGCAGATGCACTTATGTTGTAAGGGACTAAACTTCAACAGATTGATGGTCACATTGCCAGAACTACATGGGGAGATAGGCAGCTAGAGTACTACACTGGGCATTCAAGCCTGCAATTGGGATGGCAGGAGAAGCCCTTATCTTGTGGCACTAATCAAAGCTCACTATGTCCCAATAGATGGGTGAATTCTCGTCAAAGAATTAAACTTTCATTAAGTTTCTGAAGTAGGATGATCATTCCTGGCCCCAACCATCCAGCCCATAAATCTTACTATATCCTGAGAAAACCACAGGTGTCCTGATTGGGCACATGTGGATGGCTTGGACCTAAATTTCAGTCCTGGGATGCAGGCCAGACCTAGGCCTACAAGAAACCCCTTGTAGGTGCTAGGCCTAGCTTGACACCCCTAGTCTACAGTCTAAATGAGGATGGTACTAAAGCTGCTAAGAGGTATTGGTAGAGATTCCAATATAATCAAATTTGCTTAGGAGAAGGAACGTGAAACTAGAATTGCAAGTGGAATGTGGGGATTTCCTGAGGTGATTATTTGGCTTGAATTGGTGGATGTATACTTGGACAAATAATCAACGAGACCCTATTCTAGGTTTTTGACTTTTTTCCCTATTAGGAGGAGAATTTCCTAGCAACTTCTCGAGAATCTCTGCCAAGGCCTACATTGGAATTACTGATGCATCTCAAATATGAAGAGAATATGGAAGAAATTTTCTCAAAGAAATTACCGCTTCTGATAAAAAAATGCTCAAAGAAATAGAAAAAAGAAGAAAGAAATTTGACGGAACTCCATTAATATGAGATGGCTTACAATATGAGGCAACAAGATTGGAGACTCACTCACCCAAGTGAGAACTCCCTAAACTCTCAAAGAAAACCTTTAGGGTTTTCAAAACAAAGGGAATAACATGATGCCTCTAGCTTGAGTTTACAAGGCTTTATATAGAGAACAAAAACTAACTGTTGGAGCATTAAATGAAAAATTAGTTGTTGAAGTATTAAATGAAAAACTAGTTATTAGAGCATTTAATATAACTAGCCATTATAAACCCACTAACCAAAACGGCCATTGGAAGCCTATTAGTGAGTTCAAATGTAGGCCCACTTGTCTTCTCCTTCTAAAATTATATGATGCTTCTTAGGGCATGAACGTCTGCATCAATTACACTCCACTTGTTCTGGTAAGGCAACCTCAAGTTCATAGGGAAAAACATGTTCAATTTGAGAATGATTATTTTGAGGGCTTCAGAGACTTGCTTCTTGGTTGGTGGAGGGACTATGAAATGGTGAGATAGGGCTCGAATGTGAAAGCAAAGAAACTCCAAGTAATAGATTAAGAAGTGGAAGGACAACCTTCAAAAGATGGAAAAACAAACAGAGGACCGTCTGAAAAGTCATCTCTAAAATTGATATAATGAGGGAATAGGACCTGACCTCAGAAAATAACAGAGCTAATATTTTCAACAAGTTTGGTTATGAGAAAGTGGAACAATGGAGGAAAAGGGAAAAAGTTAGGTAGCTGACAGTAGGATAGAGAGAAAACCAATTTTATAGAAGACGGCTAATGTGGGATGGATTTAACACAACACGAAAGGTTTCCATTATGAAATCATTGTAGAGAATTTTAAGACATGCAGAGTTTAGTTACAACTTACAAGTTATAATAAAAATCCATATAAAGAGGTAAGCAAAAGATTTGGACAGAGTTGTTTTTGAGAAGCATACGGAGGCTCAGAAAGGAGAGTTGGAGAAACCATTTGGAGAAGTATTCATCCATATTGATAGCGATATTTTTTAGAGTGACAGATAAATGGAAATTAGTACAGTTTAATTAGTGGTATTATCTCTTTTCTTTCTATTTTAGTGGGATCCTAGTTTCACTATCGGAAAAAGAACCAGAAGAAGACAAAAATTTGGAGAAGCTAAAATGAAATAAATGGTTATTTAATGCTCTATCCCTAGCTCAGTTGATAAAAGTATCATATTGGAATAATAAGGGTACATGTTAAGTCCAGTTTGCCACCAAACACACACACACAAGAAATTAGTAAAGATATATTTACAGGGAGAGGCTGATCAAAAAGATGCTTATAGGGTGAAAGGAAAATAATAAAGTTAAGGGAGAATATGGTGAAGAAGGGCAGAAAGTAAAACCTGTGGATCAAGATTTCCAACATAAGCAGTTGCATCTTGATTCCTCTCAGCTGAGTGTTGGCCCAGTAGGTTTGCTCCAACACCAGGAGCAATCCGAGTCGTCATTGCCTGCAATCACTGAAATCTTTCCCTTTCTTGTAGTAAAATAACTGAAATTATGAAAATTTAGCAAACCCTTAGGAGCAAAAATATACTACAGAAATCAACAACGAACTAGTTAAAGTTGATGCATGTAACGGAATTGGAATTGGAATCCCTTGAAATCGGAATCGTAATGGCCTATTCCCCCTACCTGTTTGGTTCAGACAGGAATAGGAATTGGAATTGGATTCCAATTTATGCTGTTTGGTTCATTAAGAGTCTGGAATCAGAATCAGCCATGATTTCCAATTTTGCCCCTAATAAAAATAGAAGTGCAGACAATGCATGAAAATACCAAAAAAGATTTTGCAGAAATTGCAGAAATTTTGCAGAAAATACCAGAAAATGCAGAAATAACAAAATTGCAGAAGTTTTGCAAGAAAATGCAGAAATTACAAAAAACAAAATTGCAGAAAATGCATGAAATACCAGAAAACTTTGCAGAAATTGCAGAAAAATCAGAAAATTGCAGAAATTACAAAAAAAAAATTGCAGAAAATTCAGAAAAATGCAGAAAATCTATACTACTTTAAAAAGTACGAATGGCCTCAAGAATATTTCTGGAATTTTCTAAGGACAATATTTACCCCTCTATATTTAAATTTAATGATAAAAAAATGA